ATAAAGGCCAAAGCAATAAGTCAAAAGAATAAAAGAACACAACAGCCACAACAATTGATGAAATACTTCTTGTAGTTGGTGAAGTGGAGGATTGCCTTCACATGCCTGACCATAGCTGTACAGAATGGGTGGTAGACACAGCCTACCATGCCACCTTCCATAGAGAACTCTTTAGCTCGTACAACACTGTAGATTTTGGCACTGTTCAAATAGGGAATTCTAGCTATTCAAAGATTGTGGGTATTAGAGACATTAGTATTCAGACTAATGTTAAATACAAGCTGGTTCTCAAAGTTGTGATGCATGTTCCAGATTTGCGCCTCAATCTTATCTCCGAAATGCCCTGGACCGGCAAGGCTATACAAGTACATTCGGAAATGGTCGTTGGAAGTTGACAAGAGGAACTTTGACAATCGCTAGAAGAGAGATATCTTCAACACTGTACAAGACTCAAACGAAGATTTGTCTGAGAAGTCTTAATGCAGCAAAAGACAAGGAGTCACCAGACTTATGGCACAGAAGATTGGCTCATACGAGTGAGAAGAGATTGTATCTGTTAGAAAAGCAATCCAGGATACCCTTATCTAAAGGGAGTGCCTTGAAGCCGTGTGATCATTGCCTTTATGACAAGCAACATCAAGTATCATTTAGTTCAAAGAGCAAGGGGAAAACAGAAGTGCTCAATATGGTGTACTTGGATGTTTGTAGCCCTATCGAAGTGGAGTCACTTTGTGGCTGCAAGTATTTTTTGACTTTTATTAATGATGTATCAAGGAAGTTATGGGTGTATTTCCTGAAGACGAAGGATAAGGTATTCTAGCACTTTCAGGAGTTCCATGCAATGGTGGAAAAAGAGACTGGGAAGAAGTTGAAGTGTCTTCACATAGACAATAGTGGTGAGTACACTTCCAATGCTTTTGAAGCCTATTGTGCCAGTATAGGTATCCGGCATGAGATAACAGTTCTCGGTACCCCACAACACAATGGTATGGCAGAGAGGATGAACCACACTATTGTTAAAAGAGTCACATACATGCTCAGAATGGCAAAGTTGCCAAAGTCATTTTGGTTTGAAGCCACCCCATACAGCCTGTTATCTCATCAACAGGTCGCCTTTAGTTTCGTTGAATTTTGCGATACCTGAGGAAGTCTAGTCCAAAAAAAAGGTATCATATTCTCACTTGAGAGTCTTCGGGTGTAAAATGTTCATACATATCTCCAAGGAAAACAGATAGAAGCTTGATGATAAGTCCACTCCATACATATTTGTGGGCTATTCGGATACAATATGTGGGTACAAGTTGTGGGACCCAGTAAATAGGAAGATGTTCAGCAGCAGAGATGTTGTGTTCCAGGAAAACCATACAATAATAGATTTTGAGAAGTCTGCAAAGTCTAGAGATGTCATCACTCCATACTTGTTTCCATCTTTTGAGCCATCACAAAATGATGAATGTGATGATGTGCAACAAGAAGTGCCAGAGTTATTGGATCCTATGCCAGGAATTGAGGATCATGAGGAAAGAGATGAAGACCTGGATGAAGAGGGTCTTGAGCAGGAGGAGCAACTCCTTCAACCAGAGGCAACTTGGCCTTAGTTGCGGAGATCTAGAAGAGTTGCTATGTCATTAACCAAATATCCCGCTTCTCAGTATATTCTGATTACTGATGAGGGGGACCTTGAGAGTTTTTCAGAAGCAAATAATCATACAGAGAAAGATTGTTGGATGCAAGCCATAAAAGAGGAGATGAGTTCTTTGCAGAAGAACCACACTTTTGAGCTTGTTTCACTTCCAAGAGGCAAGAGAGCCTTAAAGAACAAATGAGTATATAAGTTAAAGAAAGACGACAATGGTAAACTATTGCAGCATAAAGCTCGCTTGGTGGTCAAAGGTTTTGGACAAAAAAGGAGAATTGACTTTGATGAGATCTTCTCTCCCGTTGTGAAGATGACTTCCATCTGAGTAGCTTTGGGATTAACAGCTCGCTTAAATTTGGAAGTAGAACATATGGATGCCAAGACTGTCTTTTTCCATGGTGATTTGGTGAAGATATCTATATGGAGCAACCAGAAGGATTTGAAATTAAAGGGAAACAGAATCTAGTAAAGAGTCTCTACAGCCTAAAACAGGCGTTGAGACAATGGTACAAGAAATCTGATTCATTCATTGTGGATCACGAGTACACAAGAATGGTAGCAGACCAGTGTGTATATTTTCAAAGATTTTCGAATAGAAACTTCATCATTCTACTATTGTATGTCGATGATATGCTGATCATCAAATATGATATTACTATGAGCAACAAGTTGAAAAAGGATTTGTCGCAATATTTTGACATGAAGAATTTAGGCCTAGCACAATAGATTTTGGGTATGAAGATTGTTCGTGACAGAAAAGCCAAGAAGATATGGTTGTCACAGGTGAAATATGTTGAACGGGTGATTGAAATGTTCAACATGAAATATGCCAAACCAGTCAGCACACCACTGGCTAACCATTTCAATGTGACAAAGAGTTCGTGTCCCATGACCAGCTCTGAAAGAAAAGAAATTGAGGCAATCCCCTATGCTTCTGCAGTAGGAAGTTTGATGTATGTAATGGTATGTACTCGGCTAGATATAGCTCATGCAGTTGGCGTTGTGAGCATATTCATCGCCAATCCAGGAAAATAGCATTGAGAGGTGGTCAAATGGATTCTTCGGTACTTGAAGGAAACTTCGAAGATGTGTCTATGTTTTGGGGGGGCTGAACCAATTTTGTTGATATAGTGGGTGATCTTGATGGTAGAAAATCTACATCAGATTTTCTATTCACCTTTGTAGGGGGGGCTGTTTCATAACAGTCCAAACTACAGAAGTGTGTTACTTTATCTACAATAGAGGCAAAGTACATTGCTGCCACAGATGTTGGAAAATAAATGTTGTGGTTGAAGCGGTTTCTCCAAGAATTGAGTCTACAACAGAAAAAGTACAAAGTATATTGTGATACTCAGAGTTCAATTGACTTGAGCAAGAATTCCATGTACCATTCCGGTACAAAGCACATTAATGTTAGGTATCATTGGATACAAGAAGTGACGAAAAAGCAGCTGATGAAGCTGGTAAAGATTCACACTGACAAAAATGCTTCTGACATGAACCAAGGTTGTCACTAGAGACAAACCGGAAGTTTGCAAAAATCTGACCCGAATAGACTTCAAGTGAGAAGTCAGCTATCCATATGAGAGTAGAGGAGAAGAATTGCCAGCTCTAGCCTACATGGAGGAGTTATTGAAAGTTTGCTCCAAGCCAAGAAGCAGGAGGGAAGAGAGCTTAACAACTCATTTCTTGACTTTGTTTCCCTCTTCCCGTGTATATATAGATGCTAAGAGGAAGAGAAGAGACAGGAAACATAGAGTGTGTGTTTGTATAATCTGAGTGAGTGAGAGTGCTATAGAGAGAGAGTGAGGTGTAAGTGTTGTAAACTCCCTCCGAGATAATTCTATAGTGGATACCTCTTCCTGTGGACGTAGGCTATTGCCGAACCATGGTGCTGTTTGGTGTAGCTGTTAAAACAGATTATAAATTATAGCTTAACATATTATAGATTATGACTTTAATCAGAAGCTGTTAATCTGTTTGGTATAGCTGTTGGATTATAGATTTAAGTTACTGAGTAATGTTTGTTAAATAAGTTGTAAAGTAGCTTTTTCAATTATTTTTTATTTTTTATTATTCACTATTTGTCTACATTTCTCATAAAAAATAATAATAATATTTTATAGTCTATTTGGATCTTTTTCTATTTTAAAAAAAATAAAAAATAAAAAAATTTAAGAGTATAACCGTAAATTAACATGTCTACAGCAGAAGCTGATAATCAAAAGTAAGGGGTGAGCAGCTTCTCAGAATCATCTTTTTTGACTTAAAATAAGTTGTTAGAATCAGAAACTGTTTGAAATAAGTTTAACCAAACAGTCTAAAATAACTTTTAAAAAGCCAGAAGCCATAAGATGGCTCAAAAAAGCCTCACCAAACACCTCCCATGTAAATCTCTTATGTTGTTATTTGTGATTGCTTATTGGTGTGCTAAATAGATTATTGGATCCTAACATTTTAGATTGAAATGTTGGACAAACCTAAATTGCGTATGGATTGTGCGATCGCCGTCGGAAGTCGTTGGCGGCGAGATCTGAAACCTTCAATGGTCAGCGAGATCGTTTGTCGACAACGGTAAGATCGGGTTTCTGAGAAGACGAAGAGTTGAGCACGAAGTCAACGATCACCATTAGAGGAGTTCTCATCAATAATGAAAGTGAAAATCTGAAGAGAGAGAGAAAGAGAGAGACATAGAGAGAGAGATAAATAAATAAAGAGAGATTCTTCGAGAGAGACAGAGATTTTGTGTGATTTTATATATTTGTATATATTTTAAGGATTTGTATATACATTAGTATAAATAGTATATTTAAAATATTTTATATTATATAAATAATAAAATAATATAAATAAATAAACAAAAATGAAACAAGCAAACAAATAATGGAGAGAGAGAGATTCTTCGAGAGAGACAGAGATTTTGTGTGATTTTATATATTTGTATATATTTTAAGGATTTGTATATACATTAGTATAAATAGTATATTTAAAATATTTTATATTATATAAATAATAAAATAATATAAATAAATAAACAAAAATGAAACAAGCAAACAAATAATGGAGAGAGAGAGATTCTTCGAGAGAGACAGAGATTTTGTGTGATTTTATATATTTGTATATATTTTAAGGATTTTCAACCATTATATATATAATAAAATATCATATTATTATATTATTTTATATATTATATTACATATAATTTAAATAAAAAATAAAAAATATATAATTGGTGTCAGCTGCCCACCACTTCTATATATATATTATTTTATTATAATATTATATTATTTATATTATTATATTTTGTTTTTTTTTTCAAGATCTTTTGCCTATATAAGGCAAGTGAAGCAATTAGGAGAGTGAGGCAGAGGTTTCGGCCAAGGGAGCCAGGGCAGCAAGAACAAAAGAGAAGTACGAGAGTATAATTGGTATATATTAGAGTGTGGTAGTTATATGTGTGTGAGGATTTAATATTTTCTTATTTGGGTGGAGATGAAATTCTGACTAAATAATTGAGGTAGGTTGTATTTAATGTTTTTAATTTTGATTTAATTTGAATATATTGTATAATCTTTAGATTCTTTTGTACAATAAACGTTTTATTCAAATTATGTTAGACAATTATTTTCATTGTTGTATGTTAAAATTATTAGACGAGTCATACCCGGTAAAATAGGTCGTGCATCAACCTTAGTTTAGTTTAGTTTAGTTTAATTTAGTTTAATGGTGACGGTCCATGTTAAACGAAGATGATTTATGACTTTCTAGTTTTAATATACAAATCTTTTTGACGATATATTTCTGATTAACTTACACATCATTTTGTCCAAATTAATGATTTCTAAAAACTAGTACAATAATCCTTGATTATAAGGCTAGTGGTAAATTCAAAATCTTGATAAACTTCTTATTTTATTTTATTTATTTTATGTTTTATTATTTTCAAAATCAATTTTCTTAAGAAAAATGACTTAGACCCCCACCACCTTCATTGATTTTTGATTGGCTGAATTTTATTTTATTTTATTTTATTTTGTTTTGAATCTTCCTCTCACTGCCCCCACGTGTATGTGGGGGTGCTGGGAGTCACCTCCCACTGGGGGTCTGGAGCACTGCTGTTTTCTTAAATTACTTTAATTATTATTTTTGTATCAAAACAATTTGATTAGTCCCTGAAGATCGACACCTGATCTTAACCACTATATTTTGAAATAATAGTTATTACTTGGGTTTAAATATAATATTTTAGTCTTTTAATTACAATTTTTTTTTTTATTTTAAAAATATATGAAATGCCTCATTTAGGATTCAGCCAACCCCATAAATGACAAGTTCTGCTAAATATATTAACAATAGATGGATAGAATAACAACATTGCATGTGTAAGAATTAATGGTTATAATTAAAAGTGAAGAAATAAAAATAAAATTTTAGTGAATGTACGTAAGTGATAAGGGTAATTGAATTTTGGGTTAATTACTTTCACTTATATAGTTTGAATTAAATTTTATTTTAATACTTATTATTTTAAATTGAATAATTTTAAGTTTAGTTTTAATCTAGTTTTTTCGTCTAAATTAAAAATTAAAATCAACAATTTTCGAATCCTTTCTTTTTTTCTAAGATATAAATTAAAAGTTAAAATTAATAATTTTAGAACCTTTATCAATTTTATAACGTGCACATATAAATAAAATTACAAAATTTAGATAAAAAGATTAAGGCCTTCTTTATCATTTCTTAAAAAAGTCAAAAAATCACTTTCTTATTTAAGTCGCATTATCTTATTTAAATCACATCACCTCTCTACCACATCACTTTAAACCTAACTCATATTTCATAAAAAGTTAAAAAATACACTTATTTAGAACATCTCAAACCACCCCTAAATTTAAATCAAAACAATAAGAATTAATGTGAAAGAAAGGATGAGCGATGTAATTAACCTTGAACTTTTTCTTTGTTTCTCTCTTCATACGCAAGAGCGAGTCCAGATCCTCTACTTTGATCTTTATGCCTGGCTCCTTACGTGGTGGGTCATGGGGCCACTCTTGGGCTCAATTTCAATGATTCAAACAATTCATGTTTAAGATTTATCAAGTGTATCATACTCGTAAATATCATTGAACTAAAAGTTTTATTAAAAAATAAAAATATTTATTAATTTTTTTAAATATATAATTTTTAGTTTGATAATCTGAACGCGCAGTTTTCCATATTTAATTAACTTGATTTTTTTTTATAAATATGAATAAATTTTAAAATATGAACCATTCAAATAATTTAGCCCCGAAGTGGGCCAATAACCCACCAGGTAAGAAGACAAATAGAGAGATACAAGGAGAGGATCATTCCACAAGAGCTAGTGCTGATACACGTCTCTTCTTTTTCCAGTAACCGCCGTACCGGTATCACCGCCTCTCTCTCTCTCTCTCTCTTCCCCAATCCCAAATGTATATCTCTGTGTTGTTGTTTCATTGAGTGTTCCATTTTGATATATCTCGGACCTTTTTACTGCTTTTGTCTATCGTCTGAATTCAATGTACTACTGTTACAAGTTAATTCAATCTTGCTTCCTTTAATTAGGGTTCTTAACTAATCAATCATTTAATGCCTTAATATCTTTTTGTTTATTATTATATTGACTGAGTTTATATTTATGTATGCATTTTGCAACTGGTTTGTGGGAATCTTTTGCATGCTTCCTCTTGACACTCTGATTGGTTGCTCGGAAAACAGTGGGCAACAAAAGAAGAAGAAAGCTTGAATACCCAATCCTCTGTATTACTGTGTTCCCTGATCAAACTATGGTATTGGCTTTAGTAATGGATGTGTGTAGTGCCTTTTTCACTGAAATGCAAATTGTGATTTTTTTTCTTTTCCTGAATTTTTTCTCGGGAACCAAACAGGGGTTGTGGCCTGAAAATTGAGCTGATTTGTGTTATTGTACATGTGTTTTATGTGATAGCAGAGGAGAGTACCTTTGGCAGTGACAATGGTGAGGTTTTCAGTTCAATTCATGTTGTTATTGTGGTCATGCATTGCAATGGCAATGGCTGATGAGTATGTAAAGTACAAAGATCCGAAACTGCCGGTGGGTGTTCGAGTGGAGGATCTTCTGAGGCGGATGACTTTGGCAGAGAAGATTGGTCAGATGGTGCAGGTAGATAGGTCTGTTGCCACTGATGAGGTCATGAGGAATTACTCGATAGGTAAAAATAAAAAAAGAAAATAAAAATTCCCTTAGAATTCTGTAATTCTTCGTCTATTTTTTGCAACAGAATGAAAATATTCATGTTGGCCACAATGTGATATGAAGTAGATTTTGATATTGAATGCATTTCTGTGGTCTGTTATATTTGGGAATTAAATGAATAGAGTCCTTATTAATAGTGATTTCATTTCCTTTGGCACCCGGTATTGTCAAATTAATATGGACTGAAATGTAGTTAATGTGACTTACACCTAGGTCTTTTGAAAATTTGTAGTTTAGTCTTATTAATAGTGATTCTCATTTTCTTTGGAACCTTGTATTGTCAAATTAATATGGACCGAAATGTAGTTAATGTGACTTACAGCTAGTTCTTTTTAAAATTTCTAGTTTTATAAGTTGAACTCAAGGTTAATTATGTGGAAAAATATCATAGTATTTTATATAATTATATTTATATTCAAAGGTTGCCAAGTTGGTGGAAAGCCAAGAAATAAAATTTGGGGGTGGGGAAATAGTTGAAGGCGTTCAACTTGCCTTAAATTGATTCATACAGCCCTTAATCACTCATAAGAGCACTCCTAAAATTGCAGCTACGATGAGTTTTCGCCTTTAGTATGCAATAAATGGTCCTTTCTTCTTCTTCTTTTTCTTCTTCATCCTTTTTCCTTCTATTTGGCTTGTGGTTATTTTAGAGATTTCACTATGTAATTCTTTAGAGGTTTCAGGTATGTCCTTGTTTAGAGTTGTCTTTTTATTTATTTATTTTTATTTTATGTTTTGTGATTTTAGTTTATACACAATTATGTGCAACAGTGAAAACAGCTTCATCTTTGGTTCATCTTTTTGTCTACAGGGAAAAAAAGAAAAAAAAAAAAAGGGTGACTGAAGAAATGTTTCAAATGTATTTTATGTATGCTTATCAAGACTAATAGATGAAGCATTAAATCTGGTTTAGGAGGCTGCATTTGCAGAATTGCAGCAATCCTACATTTCTTGATAAACCAATCAAATAAGAAATTACATTACTGCTAATGAAGGAATAGAGGTGGATTGATCGAAGGAAAATATACATTTTGCTTGAGAACAAGGGGATGACTATAAGAACATGGAGAAATAACACTTTGGTAGGAGAAAAAACAGTCTACACATTATTTAATTCCACAAAACTTCCAAGAAATAAAAAATACTGTTATACTTAATACACTTTTATTCATATGGAAACAAACATTTCAACTTGCAAATTGTAGGAAATTTTTTGAAGAAAAATAAAAACATCAAGGGCTGGCTATAAATGATCTAGAGGGGCCCATATATAAATTTTTAGGGACAAATTAGAAAGGTTTCTTTATAAATAAAGGCAAAAGTGCAATTGTTAATAAGCTTAGGTGGGCAAACCGTTATGCTTATCCAATTATTCTTAAATTTTCTTTTTCACTAGTTTACTTTTAAATTATATATGCTAATATTCATCTAGATGACATATATACAACACAAACACACACAAGATTCTATGCATAAGAAACTCTAGATTTGCTATGGAACCTAGATGTTATATATTTTGCTGCTTTCTTGCTTTTTGTCTCGATTTGTACTTTTCTCACTTGGTCCTTTTCCTATTAATTCATTTTCTACAAGCTTGCATGTGTGTAATTGGCCAGCCTAAGAAATGAATGTCCCTTTTAACTTCTTGAAAAAGTGATATTACGGGAAGTTTTAGTATCCTTGTGTCCTTAATCATAATAAGAAAATGGGAATGATGTTGAGTTAGTGAGTCAGTAAAGAACATAGTTATTTGTTTGTTGTACAGGGAGTGTGCTGAGTGGTGGCGGGAGTACACCCCTTTTACATGCTAGTGCCAAAGATTGGGTTAAAATGGTGAATGAGTTTCAGAAGGGTTCATTATCTAGCCGTTTGGGGATCCCAATGATTTATGGGATTGATGCTGTTCATGGACACAATAATGTATATGAAGCTACAATATTTCCGCATAATATTGGACTTGGAGCAACCAGGCAAGTAGAAAATTTTAATTTCTTTGAATGAATGCATTTCGTATACCCCCTTCCACGCTTCTAATTTTTCTTGTATTTTCAGAGCAAACTTGATATTGTACTATTGAAGGTCCTAGCTAATAACAATGTCGGTTCATTAAAGGCTTGATTAATTTGTATCTGCATTGACTGTTCATTACATTCCTGCAAAAACATAAAAATGGAAGCATAACTCCTAAACTTTAGTTACCTAGGCCATCTGCAAGAGGGGAAACTCAGTGATGAAGCTTGTTTTAGTTATAATAAGCTGGCTGCCCTAGCAAAATTTCATATAAACTTCTTCTCCATATGCTATCTTATTTGGCACTTTAGATTGTGCCAATGGTAGGCTGTTTGAGTAAGTTGTTACATTAAAACTAAATTGCATTATTCTATTATACTTCACTTCACCAGGGATCCTGAGCTTTTGCGGAGAATTGGCGATGCAACTGCTCTTGAAGTCAGGGCTACTGGGATTCCTTACGTCTTTGCTCCTTGTATTGCAGTAAGTAACCATGTTATACAAACCATCAGAAATTGTCATTTATATATGGTGTTTTTAAGCGAATTTCTTTGCTTCCCAAGGTTGCAAGCATTTCATGGAACCTTTTTTTATAGGTTTGCAGAGACCCTAGATGGGGTCGGTGTTATGAGAGCTATAGTGAAGATCCCAAAATTGTTCGAGAAATGACCGACATTATATTGGGGTTACAAGGAGAAAATCCAAATAGTTCTCTTAAGGGAGTACCCTATGTTGCAGGAAGGTATGGAGTCTATTAAAGTTAAAAATAAGCTCTGTTTTGAGAAATCCAGTAAAGTTATTAACAGTATTCTCCTGATCTTGTTGACTAATAGTAGAAGCCGAAGAATTAATAGGGTGAGCCACTCTGGTTTTCATATGATATTTATGCTATAAAGCTAACATATTCTTATATCTGATTAGCCAAGAAACTAAGCTACTTTTTCGTTTCGTTTTGTTCTGTTTCTCCCATGCTATTAATGGGTATCTAGCCTTACAACTTGATTTCATAATTAAACATTTTACCTAAAAAATCTCTTTGGTTTGTCATCATTCCTACACCAAACCTACATGATGGAATTAACAATTGCTTCATTGCCACAAATAACTCACAAAACGGCAGGAACAAGGTTGCAGCTTGTGCAAAGCACTTTGTGGGTGATGGTGGGACAACCAATGGTCTCAATGAAAACAACACAGTGATTGACATGCATGGATTGCTTAGCATTCATATGCCCGCCTATAGTGACTCGATCAGTAAAGGTGTCTCCACAATCATGGTTTCCTACTCCAGCTGGAATGGTGAAAAGATGCATGCCAATGGCAATCTAATTACTCGGTTTCTCAAGGACAGCCTAAAGTTTAAGGTAAGGTTCATATAATGCCCATGCTTGTAACTTTCTGTTAATAATTGAACAGGGGCTATGTTGCTTGGACAGTAAAAACTTAAGGCTGAATTTTGTCCATTTGCACGGATCCTTTTGTGAACAGATTTGTACATAGGCAACTTTGATGCTTGGATTTGACCACTTATCATGAAAAATATCTACTCATGAAATTTGACTTCAAAAGATATATTGCATATAGACAAAGATCAAAATTTCGTTTCGGTATATTTTTTCTATTAGGTTGGAAATGGAAACGTTTCGGAAAAAAGAAGGCAAATGAAAATGAGCATTGTTAAATATTCTTAATAGGTATTGAAATGTCTCATTGTTTCGATATGTTTCGTAGAATTCTGTTGTGTTTCAGATGTTTCATTGTAAACATTGACATTTCGGTATTCTAGTAATGTTTCATTATAGTACTCTAGTGAGGTTTCCTAGGAAACTGGATCATTTCATCCGTTTCGATGGAAAATAAACGAAAGTTTGTTCCTTGCATATGGATGTTAAGCTTGTTTATTTACTTAATTTTTGTGATCTAATTGGATGTGTTTGGATTTCAATTTGTATTTGAATGCTCCCATTGTAGTTTGTGTGGCATTCGAAGTGAAAATTTATTACCTGAAATGAGGCTATTGTGAAACTACGGGCCTCACCCTATTTAGTGGCGGCTGACATTCTTGTGTCTTCTATAAATGGTAAACATCATTGTGAGATGGCTGCCACTTTCCTAAATGACTTTATTCTAGGTAAAATAGATTTTTAAATAAAAGCACTGTAAAATGACAATGTGCCCATTGGCAGAGAGTTAGTGAATTATCTCACAAATCTAAAGAAAAAAAAAAAAACCATACCGCCTCCGTCCCAAAATATTAGTCCCTTTTGGAGAATCGAACTTTTTTTAGTAGTACAATTATTACACTTCAAAAATATTAACTTTCCAAAACTACCCTTTGGTAGTACAATAATTACACTTCAAAAATATGTTAATGAATTTAAAAAGAATGGCAAAATAGGAAATTCATGTTATTTTAGTCCTTGATTTTTTAAAAGGGACAAATATTTTGGTACAATGAAAAATAGAATAAGGGACTAATATTTTGGGACGGAGGGAGTAGCCAATTACAGAAGTCATAGCTTTTTAATGCATGCTGAATCTGCTAATACCTTTCACCATTTTGCTATTGCCTATACCTGGGGTCCTGGGGCTATTCTGCATAGACTGAAAGAATGTTATGGTTACTGTGCTAATTATTCTGATTCGGATGAAATGGCAGGGTTTCGTTATCTCAGATTGGGAGGGCATTGACAGGATTACCACTCCACCTCATTCAAACTACACTTACTCCGTCCAGGCTGCTATTTTAGCTGGCATCGACATGGTTAGTGCTTCTCTTCATGGACAAACGTCAGCTTAAGACTGATTCACGGAATTGAAGAGGAGAATTTCCAGCCACTCCAGTATAGTTGATAGCAACTGTTAATGGAAGTGTGAATTTAACTTAAGATATTGCTCCTGGACTTACAGGTCATGGTTCCATACAATTATACTGAGTTCATTGATGACCTCACCAAACTCGTGACGCACAAGGTTATCCCTATGGATCGTATTGATGATGCTGTGAGCAGGATTTTGCTAGTTAAGTTCATAATGGGTATGTTTGAGAACCCTCTTGCTGATCTCAGCCTAATTGATCAGGTTGGAAGCCAGGTCAGTCGGTATTCTATCACCAGGTTTCAAATTTCTTGACTTTCAAACTGGTCATTCTACTGATGAGTTTGGGTTTTGCGTCGTTGAATTTAAGATTTGTGAAAAATAATTTCGATCTTTTTGTTCTAAAATGCCTTACTTATATAACTCAACTCAACATGCCAACTGCTTGGACTTGGCTTAAACAGATCCTTCTTCTCCAACTGACATGTAACCATCACTATTCCTTGGATGCTTAAAGCCTCCAATTACTCTCTAATGTTCTATGGGCCTTCTTCTTCTTCTTCTTCTTCTTCTTCTTCTTCTTCTTCTTCTTTTGTTTTGTTTTGTTATTTTTAAAGGAACTTTAAATTTTCATCAATCTTGCATATGAATTTTTTTTTGCTGCAGTCCGTAAGTGGAGTTCTTGTACTTGGACAGGCACATAGAAACTTGGCAAGGGAAGCTGTGAGGAAGTCGCTTGTGCTTCTGAAAAATGGGAAAAGTCCAGATGATCCGTTGCTGCCCCTTCCCAAAAAGGCACCCAGAATTCTGGTTGCAGGTAGCAGTGCTGATAATTTGGGTTATCAATGTGGTGGGTGGACAATCACTTGGCAGGGATTTAGTGGCAATAACTACACAACTGGTATGATTGATTTAATTCTTTTAATTTATTAATTAGGCTTTATAGCGTACTTTTAAATACTTGGATAATAGGTGATAAAGTTAGGATCTGCAAATTACTAGCAGCTGGGAACTACTTTGAATGCAATAATCAGGTGGGAACTGGGACAATCTAGCAAGTCTAGTAACAAATGGATTGGACCAAAAGCATTGCATGCTAGAGTAGGAGATGGGAAACATTTGCTTTTTTTGTTTTCTCCAATGGGAGAATGATATGGTAATTTAATTTTTGTGTCACCATGAATAATGGGAGTTGTGATTATAAATTATATGCATTTAAAGACATTCTAGCGAAGAGAAATGAACATATTTGAAGAAATTATTTAAAAATTGGATTCTGTGTCAATTAGTGGTGGCTGTAGAATTTTTGTTAGGGTAGACTTTCAAAATCTTAAATTTTACAAATTATATGAAGGAAATTACATTCATCAATATATATTTATATATGTAATCTATTTTACCCATAAATGTACTAATTTAAACTTAATGGCTTTGGATATTGCTCTGTAGCTCCCTAGCTGACAAGTATAGAGAAAGAATAAAAGGAAAAGAACATTAAGCTAACCATCTGTAGTCTCTGAACAGATAAAATTCACTATAACTTCAATGGTCTTCTCCTTCTAGTTTTGGTTATTACTTTCTGAATGCGTTGATTGTGATTTGTTTTCTTATTGGCCTTAATATGTCCACACTTCCATGAGAGAGCAACGTTAAGCTATATTTGGATTTTGGATTTGTGGACGGAAAGTAAAAGAGAAGGGAAAAATTGAATGACGTAGAAGCTAAATGTTTATCACTTTTCATGTCTCTTTTCTTTCCCCTCCCCAAATCTCTATACAAATCCAAGATCCAAACACAGCCATAGGGAACTTCTTTCAGCAACTGAATTTCATTTGACAAAGCTTGTTTTTATTGGACAGGAACTACCATCCTCAATGCCATAGCTTCTACTGTTGACAAGAGCTCAGAAATCATCCACCTTGAGAACCCTGACATTGACTATGTCAAGTCTGGCAAGTTCAGTTATGCTATTGTCGTTGTTGGTGAGTACCCATATGCTGAGACTGCAGGAGACAGCCCAACCCTCACTATTGCTGATCCTGGCCCAACTGTCATCAGCAATGTCTGTGGGGCTGTCAAGTGTGTTGTTGTCATTATATCCGGTCGACCACTTGTGATTGAACCATATATTTCCTCGATTGATGCACTGGTAGCAGCCTGGCTACCGGGCACTGAAGGCCAAGGTGTGACTGATGTCCTCTTTGGGGACTATGGATTTACTGGGAAACTTTCACGAACGTGGTTCAAAACTGTAGATCAACTCCCGATGAACATTGGGGATTCGCACTATGACCCACTCTTCCCCTTTGGATTTGGACTCACAACAACTAAATCAACTGTGACAAGGTAAAGATCCATATTACATAACTGCCACCAAGTGCATGATTATTTATTTTGTTAAATATGTATGATGTTTATATCATGATTTCTTGCTACTTTTTCTTTATTTTCGTCTCCCTTTGTTCATGCAGCCATTAAAAAAAAGATTGTGACATGATTGGCATCCTTATGCAATGATTTTTCCCCCTTTTATTGCATGGCATTTATACGAGTCCTTGTTGTTTTTGTTGCATTTGAAATGAATCCGATCCTTCATCTCTTCTAGAATCAAGAACCAACAAAATTATATGCTTGTCTTGTTATTGACTCCAACTTTTTTGGCATGAAAAGTCTTTTTGGGTTATTGGTACCCCTCCAGGATGGATATTGTTTGTGAATAAATATATAAAGGGTTTAAGGTTTTAGGTTTAGGATTCAATTCCCTTCCTTCATCTTTCCTAGAATCAAGAAAAAACAAAATTTTATCCTTTTCTTGCCGTTGAGTACAACTTTTTTAAATATGAAAGTCTCTTTTGGATTATAGTTACACCTCCAGGAACTCTTGTTTGTGAATATATATATTGATAAGCCTTGTTTGTTTTGATCAAAATTTCCTTCTGTCGTAATTGGTTGCTGTCAGTTATCTCAATTATTTATCTGATGAAAGAAGTTGAGGAGTTATGTCTATTCAAGATTGATGATGTTTTCTGTAGGTCAATCTCAGCTAGCATTGATCAAAGGCCATCTTTACTTATCATTAAGGTAATTTCACTTATCAGTTTGTATTTTTTCAGCATATTTCAAAGTTGAAACAGCCTTGAACAGTATATTTGAAATTGAAGAATGGATAAATACCATTCTTATTCCTTTCATTGTTATTCATTCCTTCTCATGAACAATCCAAAATTAGTCTTTTTTTCTTTTCTTTTTCTTTTTTTTTTTAAATGTTTGTAATACATGCTGTTGATTAGCTTCTATTAGCTTAGGATGAAAGTCAAAATAAGTTTTCATGTTTTCTTTGCTGTGGAGAATTAAACACTAGTAGTGATAAGCAAATGTTGTTTAACTGTTAGAGTACTGTATTTAGTTATTTATGATAATATTAATGTCATTTCTTGTCTTAAAAAGAAAAAAAAGAAGTTATGAAGAGCTTGAGAAATTGTTTCTGGATCTAATGATTCTTTATGTTTGTTTAAAATAAAATAAGTATCTGGAAATATCTGTTTAATATAAGTAGTGTTTTTTTCCCCCAAAATTTTCAGTTTGAGATGCTGATGAAAATAGAGCCTTTTACACCAAAAAAAAGACGCAATGTTTGGCATCATCATCTTGACTTGATCCTTTAAATGGTCAGGGTAGTGTTGGTATCCAAAATTACAAGTTGAGCACCATAGAAAAATCCATATCGCTGACAAATCAGAAGGTAAATAATAATGATAGTCAAAAAATTACTTAAAAAAATTAGAAAGCTAAAGAATTATACAAAAATTCATACTCTTCTCTCTTTTTTTGCACTTTCATTTTATTTGTAAAAAGTTAAAAAATTATTTTAAACATATTCACCTAGCTTGTTTCTATTTTTCAAAAAACACTTTTCAGAAAATTTTACTTTCTTATTTTTCGTGTTTTTTTGTTTTTACTGAATTTTTTTTTTAATATTTTAAACAATTTTTTTACTTTTTAGACACACTTAACATAAATACACGTAAAAAGTAAAAAAATTATAAAAAAAATCTTTTAAAAATTCACTAAATACCAAAAATACAAAAAAAAATATAAGAATTCAGTACATTTTTTTTATATTTTTATGTATTTGTTAATTTTTTAAAATATTTTTTCACAAAATTTTTACTTTTTAAATACATCTAAGTAAGGTGCATCTAAAAAAATTAAAAAAAATGTTTAAAATTAAAAAAATATTCACTAAAAATAAAAAATCATGAAAACTAAAAAAGTCAATTTTCAAAAAATTTAATCTAAAAGACTCAAATCAAATACACTGATTAATTTTTTTCTTCTCACATTTTAATTAAAAAAATAAAAAAATATATATTAAAATAACCTATTCTCAAACCAACCCTAAACATTACACTGACTGTCAAATATGTGCTTTGAAATTAGTGGCCGTACCTTTGGTACTTAGATTAGCAAATTGGGTTGTTCCAGGAGGCAGTGCTGTGAAAATATAATCCGCATTCATTTTGTGTTTCTAAGAGTCCCCACTGTACCCACTTGGAGTTGTAACTATCATATGTCAGCCTAGCCAAGCACTTTAGATTTAATGCTTATTTTGAAGGAGGTGTTTTGGTTATTATTTCTAGTACTAGTTCATTTTATTTCCTTCAACAGGTTAGTTATTTTTAATATTTTACTTCAGGCTAATTATATCTGAAGTGTTTTGTGAGATTCTGTAAAATAAAAAGTAATATTGGAACACATAGATTAGTGGTGACAAACGGATGGATCAAAACGCTTTATGCATTTAGAACAATTAAACTTAAACCCGTACATTTAATTAATAAGTTTAAGCGGGTTGAGTTGAATTGTATATGGATTGGACAAATAAATCTTGCTTACTTCATCAATTTGTTTTTATAAATTTTGTTGACTAATATGACAGTAGTGGAGGTGGAGTAGTGATAGAAGTAATACCCATTTAAACAGGTTTAAACAAACAAGTACCCAACCCATTTATTGGTTTTGATAGGTTTTAGATAGGTTTAATTGGATGAGTTTATGGGTTGAGTTAAGTTTGTCACCTTCAGAGCAACTCTAACTACACTCGCTACTTTTCATTAATTAAAGTACAAAAAAAAGATATTTTTTATTTTATCTAATTATTTTAGCTATTGTGTTCTCTAATCACGTTTTTTATTTTAGCTAATTATTTAAACTAACTTAATTAATTTTTAAAATAAAAAAATACTAATTGTTGAAATTTCACTAATATAAATTTGTCCATACAAACATACAAAACCTGTAGACTGAGGAGAACAAAAAATACAAAATACAAAATAAGTTATTCTGTAATTCATTAAACAGAATTGAAAGAACATATAAAATTGCTACATATACACGCACGCACACACACACACACACACACATATATATACATAATATAAAATCCTAAATCCAAGACATAAATATACAAAAATTTAAAATATATACATACATAATTGTTTGGAGAGCCTCTGGAGCTCTTCAATTGTAGCCACCAAAAAAATAAGATAGTAAAGTAACTAGCCCAATAGCTAGCCCATTGGAGCTCAAAATTAAACTTACATTGGCTAAAATGCCTAACAAACCTTATTTAATTATTCCCTTGGAGATGCTCTTACACATAGGAAAAAAAGTGATCAGGTGAGACAGAGATCTCGTTTGGCAACATCACTTTTTAGCCTAAAAGTCAAAAAGTCACTAAAAAATTAAAAAGCCAACAACTTATACTAAAAAGTCAAAGATTTTATTTTCTCTCTATTGTGTACACATCTTTTCATAAAAAATTAAAAAATTATCCCAAACATACTAGTTTTTTTTTATATCATATTTTACCTAAAAAATTAAAAAGTTACTCAAAAAGCATAGAGTGTATATTTTTTTTATACTTTTTAGTAGTGAAAAATGAAGTAATGAATTCACATTTAGATTTGATAAAAGTTACTCAAAAAGCATAGAGTGCTAGAGTTGCTTAATAGACAAATTCACATTTGAGTATAAATTTGTGTAAAAGATTCAGTAATGTTAGATTGGTAAATTTGAAAGTTCCAAGATGATCTTGAAAATTTGAATAAAATTTTGAGTTTCCCTTGATTTGGATTAAAAAAAGAAAGTAAAACTCGATTTGATACAAGTTTAAGTTAAGGAGTTGATAAATTTCTAAATAATTTTTATCCAATTTGTTAAATAATTTAGATTTCATATAAGTTAGAGATGTCCTTACATCCATTTGTATGGACATTAATAGGTCTCGACTCTTGAGGGTGTGACATGCCACACCCTAACAATTTTTCATTTACAGATTTGTTTTGAAAAATATATATATATATTTTTTATGTTTTATTGTGACCCTTAAAATTATTGTGCTCGACTTTAATTCGTTTTTTTTGTTTTTTCGAAAATGAATAGTATTTTTACTATTTTCATTGATTACAGAAAAATATTTTTTTTGTTGACTTTTAATTTCCATGATATTACCTTTCAAAAAACATTAAAAAAATTTGAAATGGTTTGAAAAAGAACTGGGTTTGAAAGTTGAGTCATCCTAATAACTATATTGGACTTGAAGAAGTAATATAATATAATCCACCTAGAAAGAATGACAAATAGATAGATGCAATTTTCTGTCTTTGTTATTTTGTTTTATTTTTGTTGTCATTTTGTCATTGTTTTCTTTTCTTTTTTAAAGAATGACAAATTGATATACTATCCACATTTGGCAACCATACAATTTTTTGTTTTTATTTTTTTATAAATAGAAAAATTATTGACAATTCAAAATTAAAGCGAGTACAGCACTTTGAGAGGAATAGTCAATGTTTAATTGTGTATGTTTAGGCAGTGTTGAGAATCCAATTATTTTGGGTTTGTGTTCAAAACACTTAATACTGATACAATTTATTTAACTAGAAATGTGAATTATTTTGGTACTAACGTGACTTACAATTATGTCGATTTGAACACGACACACCTAACACGATTAGTACTTTTTAAGCAACATGTTTCACGTTACATGTACATATAAAGGTAACATGTTTAAATATTAACATCCACAAAGTTAACATAAACATATCAATGTAATCTGGTGAATGATTATACACAAATGCAGAACCGAACTCCAGGGTGTAACCGGCGGGCAAGCGAAGTTGGCTGGTGTGCTCCGGCAAATGGTTGGCTGAAAATTAACTTCGATGGGGCTCTATTCAAGGAATTAAAGGCTGTTGGTGTCGGCGTGGTGATTCGAAACCATTTGGGGGAAGTGATGGCTGCTTTGTCAGAACGTCTTCCATTTTGGGTAGACTCCGATTGTGCAGAAGCTTATGCCGCAACGAAAGCAGTTGAATTGGCAAGGGATTTGGGTTTAAGTGATATACATTTGGAGGGAGATTCTTTACGCATTGTCAAGGTCTTGAGGGAGGAAGCTGAGTTTATGTCAGAATATGGTCATATCTTGCTACAAACGGTGGGTGTGTGCAAGTCTTTCAGTCGCTTCCATGTTAGTCATGTGGGCAGGCAGGGCAATGGGTTGGCCCATGGGCTTGCGCGAATGGCTAGGCATCAAAACTACCACCAAGTTTGGATGGAAGGCTTACCAGCTTCCTTAATAGCCATAGCTACTTCTGATGTTTCATCTCTATAAGAATCCTTATTGACTACGTATCAATATTTATGAAAATGATTCAAACAATTTATTAATAATCCACCACGAGTTCTTCCAATGCTAAAATATAATGACAATAAAGCATTTAAGATTCTATGGCTATCAGATTTAGGTTGCATTTGGGTTATTTGTGGGTCAATAGTGAGTTTGTCTCCACGTCTCGATATGAATTTTTACATGAGTTAGAAGGATTATTTTCAGATTACATGTGTTCTTAATTTTAACACAACTCATTTAATATTCTTGTTATTGAACTGTATTATATTTGTGTTCATGTCAAAAAATGACCAGCCATAACTCTATAATTATATATACAGTTCAAGTTGTGTTAAGGAGTTGCATGTCAAATTCTCACCTCTATTACACCATCTTCAACGTTGCTTCAGATTCAGTATCAAATTTGAATTTGATGAAAAAGTCATTTTTTCTGCTCTAATGGTTTTACCAAATTGATATCAAACTGAGAACGGAGTAAATTTTTCACCAAACTAAGAATTTGCGTGAGCCTTCATCAATTCACTGTGCTGTAACGGCGCAAGTGGGCCCACCGGTCCACCTATCGGTCGACCGGAAATAGGTTCAAACAGTTCAAAATATGTTGGTTCAAACAGTTCAAAAAGGTAAAAAAAAATAAAAAAAAATTAGTTTTACCGGTCGACCAATCGGTTGACCCACGGGATGACAATTCTTTTGATGCACCATTGGAGCAACTGGTATCAGATTGAGAAAATAAGCTATTTTTTACTCAAATTTGGTGAAAAAAATACTGAACCGTTGGAGATGCTCTTAGGAAACCCCTTTGGTATGTTGTGTACCATATATTTTATTATTCTTTTTTTTTGCGAGTTACATATTTTTGTAATAAATATTACGTAATGAACAATTTTTTAAGTTTTTTTGTTTTCTATATCTTTTTTTAATCAATTTTTCAATATTTTAATTATTTTTTTTTAGATTTACTTAATTTAAATATGTTTAAAAATGTTATTAAATACAAATAAAATACAAAATTTATTATATTTTTAAAAAAAATTAAAAAAAAATTCATAAATATTTTATTTTTTAAGTATATCTAAATTAAATTAATTTTAAAAAATAACTAATATATATAAACAAAAATCACTAAATATAACAAAACAATAAAAAAAAATTCAAAATTTATTTTTAAAAATTCAAAACCAATTGGAATAAAATTCCACTTCCAAGAAATAGAATAAAAAACGAAAAATGCCTTAGACCCCCAGCTGGAGGTGCTGGGGGTCTTCTCCTATTGGCCCAAAAAATTGTTTTTTTTTTTTTTTTTTTTTTTTTTTTTTTTAACAGAACACCAGCCCCCTACGTGGAGGTGGGGGTGCTGGGGGTCTCCAGCAGGACCGATAAAAAACGTGCACACATCTCGAAAAAGTTAAAAATGTATTTCAAATTTAACTTTTTCATAATTAGTTAAAAAATTAAGATGCTATATTCAAATCATAATTATTTCATTTTTTTTTTACAAAATTATAAAAAAATTCAAAAGATCATCTTAAACAGAACTTTTTAGAGAGTGATGCTACATCCCTCTAATTCTGCACTCTCAATTCACTCCCATGTGAAATGGTCTCACACTTCGAAGAGAATCTACTGGTTGTTATTGGTTGTCATCTCATTACGAGTGCAATTGGGGGTAATGAAATGAGAAGATGGGGCATTTCTCTTTTTTTGACTAGATTAAAATAGTTAAAAAAATAAAAAAGTCAAGCTAAAAAATTACTTTCCAAACGAAGGCAATTATCATATTTTCAAACTATGATATTAAGATTTTATAAGATAAAAGACATATACTATTTTCATAGTAGTTGGGGTCTCTTAATATTTTCACAGAGAAAATTCGGCATAGAAATTTTGTCTCAACAGAGAAATTTTTCTGATATGATTACAAAAAAATTTTATTAAAGAACTAATTTTTTTTGCAACTAATACTAACGAGGGGGCAATTGGTAATATTACTTTAAACCTTAGGAAGGGATTGTAATTTTCAAAATGTGAGGGGTGTCAATGTAATTTACTCAATGAGGATAAAATTGGTATTTAAAAAAATTAAAAGGGCTGAGGGGGAATCTGTAATGAAACTTTAAACTTCGGAGGAGATGTAATTTTCAAAATGTGAGAGGAAGAACTATAATAAACATAAATCTCAGGGGGGTGTCAATGTAATTTGCCCAAAAAATTAAAAGTCACTACATAAACTTACCCCAAACATCCCCTAAAATAGTGACTCTCCAAAATAACCTAATAAATATAAATAAAAATTCCGAGTTCAAGTTATTGGGAGCACAAACAATATTTTGATCCAACCAATCAATGAACTCTTTGAATATTTTTGTTTTCATTTCTCTCCAATGAAAGCAATGGATTTTTTTATCTTCCCTTTTATTGGGCACATCAAAAACTATAATATGGATAGGAAAGTCTAATCACTATAATATGGATAGGAAAGTCTAATCATTAATTATAGTGCAGCAGTTTCAACAATACTCGTTTCGCAATGATTTTTTTAGAGGGAATTTTTTATAAGATCCTGATATTAAAATTTTATAATATAAAAGATATTAAATATTTTTATGATGTTTAAGATCTTTCAATAGGATCCAGAGAAATTTCAGTTCTGGAGAAATTCTTTTCAGAGAAAATTGAAATTCAGAGAAATTTCAGTCCCAGAAAAATTCTCTCTAGAGAAAATTGAAATTTCTCTGAGTACCAAAGAAATCCAGAGAAAATTATGGAGAGAAAATTTGTATGGCTATCCAGGAAATTTCTCTGACTTCGCAAATTTCTTTGACTCTATTAATTACAATTAAACCCATGTCTAACAAACCCACAAATTTCTCTAGTCCAAAACCAGAGAAATTCTTTTCAAACCAGACAAAACCAGAGAAATTCTCTCTATTTATAGTAAAGTTGTATTTTTATGAACAGAACTTGGTGATTGTACATTGATCTAGGAAATTTCTTTGACTTCACAAATTTCTCTGACTCTATTACAAAGAATTTCTCTGACTTACTGAGGGAATTTCAAGTCGCACAAACCCATTGTAATGCTGCAGTTTCAAAGATGGAACTTACTGAGGGACAGACTGCAGCAGGATTGGGCAACTTTTGAGTTTCGGAGTACCCTCTTGGGCCATGGTGTGATGATATACATTGTTTCAAGAGGGAGATGTTTCACTGTGTTTTCTCTATTCTATTCATCAAGCTGTGGTAGTAGAGTAGGACGCACATCGGTTGACCCAAAATGCTGAAAAAGAACCAGAATATCATATTGCCAACCTAAAAACACAAATAAATAAATAAAAATAAGAAGAAGAAAAAGACCAAGAAACAGCAATTTAGATGAAAGTAACTCTGGCTACCAATGACTTTAACTACCTAGGACTACTAGAATAATTTTTCATGGTCTATGATGCAAAAGTAAAGTTAATAAGAACTTCTGAACTTTACTACCTAGGCAAAACAGAACTTCTGAACACATTAATCTGGGCAATCCCAAGCAACAAAAGCTCAGGGCATTACTTTGATCTTGGATACGCAACCACGACCACAATTCCGATTAGAGACGATGCTGAGTTAGCAACTCTCGCGACCCTAGTTGCCATGGCTCGGCGGCGTCGGAGATGAAGACCGATAGAGGATAAAGAAGCAGAGAGAGAGGAATGTGTACAAAAATAAAGGGTTTGGTTTGGATAGAATGAAGATCAGAAATAGAAAGAGAGTTAAATTTCTTTGATCTGATATATGATTGTGGGTTTAGGGACCTTAAACATCAAACAATAATATTGTGAATCTCTTTCATTACTAAAAATGGGAGAGGGACCTTAGACTAATTTTTTCTTTTTTTAATTGATTTTTTATTTTTTTTAGCTTTTTTAATCTAAATTTTTTTGTTTGTTTAGTTTTTTTGGCTTTTTAGTTTTGTTTTGGGCAAATTTTTTTTTGTCATTTTGTGACTTTTGATTTTTTAATTTTGCTTAACTTTTTTTTTGTTCTTTTATGATTTTTTATCCCAACTCAAAAACCAAACGGCCCCTCAATTTGAACTGGTAAATTGATTCAATTATTTTATTTAAAACCTACTTACCCTTTTAATGTTATTTAAACAAATATTAAGAGCATCTGCATCAAACTCTTCAAAATTATTTCCATCAAATTCGCTTATAGCTCGTCAAAATTTACGATAGTTACAGTAACTCGTTACAACAAGCGAGGCATTGTTCATTGCTATTTGTGTGTTACCAGATGTTCGCCGGGTCAACGATAATTTTTTTTTTTTTACTTTTTTTAAGAATTGTTTGGCTGGTAACTTATCAATTTAATAATAATAAAAAAACAAATATAATAAGAAAATAATATTTAATAAGAATAAGTTAAAATAAAGAGTTTGATGCAGTAGATGCTAAAAAGTAACTAGTTAAAATAATAAAATAATTTTAATTTAACTAAAAATTTGAAGAGTTTGGTGTGGATGCCCTAGCGTCACCACCATCACCAACTATGTGGTATTTGGTAAAAATTTGACTTTTTGACAAAAAATTAGATTGTTTTAGGTTAAAAAATTGACTTTTTTGATTAAAAAGTTAAAAAAGTTAAAAAATTGACTTTTTATTATTGTTCTCAAAAAGACCCCTATGTATTGAGAAGAAAATTCAGCCTCTGTTTGGAAAGTGGGCTGGTTTTTTGACTTTTTGGTTATTTTAACCTGTGGCTAAAAAGCCTGGTTTGGGAAGGACTTTTTGACTTTTTTGACTTTTTTTGTGAGAGAGGAGTGTAATGATTATGGGTTGAATTTGATGTTTTATTTTTTGTGGCTAAAATAGCTTATTTTGTTTTTTGTGGCTATTTTAGCCGAATAATGCTTGGGACCCCCTTTTTGGGGTCACCCCCTCACCCCCTTTGTCACGTGGCGGGTGATAATTGGAGGAGCAGGAAAAAAAAGAAAAAGAAAAAGAAAATGTAACCAATGAGAGAGAGAGGGGGTCAAAGGGGGTGGGGGGAAAAGGGGAGATGAATCATTGTTGATTTTAGCCCCGAACCCACCAAAACCAACTTCCGAAACTATGCCTCAATAAATTAAACGGTTTAGGCACCGTTTGGGAAGGTGGTTTGGAAGATTTTTTGGCTATTTTAGCTACAAAAGACAAAATAAGTTATTTTAGTCACAACAAACAAAACATCACATCCAACCCATAATCATTACACTCTTCTCTCATAAAACAAACCAAAAAAATAAAAAAGTTAAAAAATCCTTCCCAAATCAAACTTTTTAGCCTAAACAAAAATAGTTAAAAAAATTAAAAAATCAAAAAGTCAACCCACTTTTCAAATTATACATGAGGCAGTTGATTTGTCAACTCATTTCAAATTTCATTTATTAAATAAATATATTAAATTTGAATTTTCTTATTCGAGATACATGACTCAAACTAGCAAACGACCCAGAATTACTGCCAAAATATTTTAAGAAAAAGTTGAACCATTCAAACTTTTAAAAATAAAATAATATTATATAAATTAATAAATTTTTCTTACTTACATATGAGACTTGTTATATCATTGAAATCAGTATCACATTAGACACTCATAAATATTCAAAAAAATTGGGTAAATTACATTTACCTCCCCTGAGGTTTCTGACAAATACAGGGACCTTTCCTGTGGTTTGAATAATTACAGTAACACCCCCTACTTTACCTGACATTGTCAAGTTTCTCCCATTCCGTCTATTTTGTCCAAACGACGTTAGTATCCAATAGATAATGACCATGTGACCCTTGCTTTTTCTTGCAAAAAGACCAAAAAGCCCTTTGTTCACAAAATCCCTAATCAATACATTCACAATACAAATCGAATTGTTCAAAGAAAGAAAAGAGAGAGGGAGGCGATCGTCGTGAACCGATCGTCGATTGTGAAGAAGACGAAAAAGCTTGAGGTTTTGAACCGATCATCGTTGCCAGTACACAATGTAAAAGAGTTTCATCGGTGAGAAGTTGCTGTTACGGCTTCCAGGTAAGACTTCGAACTCTGTAAGCTTCGAATAGTGTTTTAAAATGTGTGTTGATGATTTTCGAATATTTTTTTCCATATTTTTTCTTATAAATTTGTTTGTATTCTGTGTTTGATTTGATGAAATGTATGTGAAAATGGTTTACTTCGAAAATATATATTTAGAGTTTATATTTTATTTGCAAAATTTCTGACTGGAAAAAAGGAATTTGTTGAATATTACTATAATAATAGTGTAATGTAGGGATTTAATATAAATTTCTGATTTTTTTTATTTTATTTATGAGATGTATGTTTAGGGCTTTTATTTGATTTGCAATGTTGAGGGCTTTTATTTGATTTGCAAAATTTCTGATTCGAATACAGGGAATTTGTTGAAAATTTATGAATTTATGATTTTCTGGGTGTTATTCAGGAGATGTATGTTTAGAATGAATTTCTGATTTGTTGGGTTTTACTTATGATTGTTTAATATTAGTATAATTATAGTGTAATTTACGGATTTCTTCATGTTTGCATATTGTCATTGTATGGGCTTGCTTATTTTATTTTATAATTGGTACATCATTATGATTACAGTATGGCTGCATTTCCTTATTTTGATTTAATCATCAACTACAAAGGAAAAGTGGGAAGAGTGTTTGATGTGGACCCAAATATGTATTGCTACATTGATGCCTTGAAGGATGTAACTGCAACAGTCCTGTCTCACATTTCTTGTAGTGAAGCAATAGCAATCACATTGCATTGTGATATGCCTGGTACTGACAGAAGGAGATTAGTAGAAAATGATCTTGATGTGCTAGACATGTTTTATGTGCAAGGAAGGAGTAAAACAATTAACTTGTATGTAAACATAGAATATTCTATTGGAATGAGTGATGGTGGACATAAAAGTAATGTTGGAAATGAAAATCATGGAGTAGATGCTGTAGATGTAGAGCAAGACTACCATACTATAGATGTAGATGAAGAGTACCATCAGGACAATGTTTATGGGTTTAGTGATGAGGATAGGGATTGGAATGCAACTGCTGAGGATGAAAACCAATCAGATGCCAATGAGATTTTGAGTGATGATGATAATGAGTGCTCAAGTGATGATGCTGAACTTAGTGATTACCAATCTGGTGATGATGAAGTGCCATATTCTAGTACTGATGATGATTATGATGATGAAGCAGACTGTCTAGATGATGAAGAGATGAGGTTTCCAGGCATGAAGTATGATGGTACCTACAATGGGAAAGAGCCATATATGAATCAAGATGGAGAAGTTGTGTTGGAAGAAGGGATGATTTTTCCAGAAGTGAATACTTTTAGGGCTACATTAAGGGACTATACAGTGCAAACTGGTTTCAAGATAGTAAGAGACAAAAATGAGAAGTCTAGAGTAACAGCCCATTGTGCTGCTGAGGGCTGCCCTTGGAGAATTCATGCATCTCCACTTCCAGATGGGATCACCTACAAGATTAAAACCTTAGTACCTACTCACACATGTAGCAGGATGAACACAAACACTGAAGCTACATCAGCTTGGATTGCTAAAAAAATGGTTGAAAGTTTTAAGGACAATCCACACATGGGCTTAGATACCATGCAAATGAAACTGAATAAAATGTTTGGGATTGAGGCTTCAAGAATGCAACTGTATAGAGCCAAAAGGAGGTGCAAGGAGGAGCTGGAGGGTGATCATGGGAGCCAATATGTGTTGTTGCCAACATATGCTAGTCAAATCAACAAAACAAACCCTGGCAGCTTGGTTGTCATAAATTATGACATACCTTCTACCCCAGTCTCAGAAGACGGAGAACAACCAGACCCTACCATTCCTCAATATCCATTGTTCCAAAGAATTTTCATATCATTTGATGCAATGAAAGCAGGGTTCATTAATGGATGTAGGCTATTCATAGGGGTAGATAGGTGTCACTTGAAGGGTCCCTATGGTGGTGTTTTAATTTCAGCAGTTGCCTTGGATGGAAATAATGGCTTGTTTCCATTGGCATTGGCAATAGTAGAGGGTGAATGCAAGGACAGTTGGTCTTTTTTCTTGCACAACTTGAGAACAATCATAGAAGATGCACTACCTTCTAGACCATGGACCATCATGTCTGATCAACAAAAGGTACTTTACTGACATATTCAACAACTACTTTACTTACATAATTACAAATGATTCTCTAATTTTAAACTTGTAATGCTTAGTAATGTTTCATTGTTTTTATATGCAGGGCCTTGATAAGATTGTGAGTGACATTATACCGGAGGCAACTCATAGAAGATGTTGCATGCACCTATATAACAATTTCAGAGCCAAATTTCCGGGTTTAATTTTGAGGAAGCAATTTTGGAGAGCAGCAAGGGCTTACAATCAGATGGAGTATGATAAGACTATGCAAGCCATTAAGGACCTGAACAATGATGCTTGCATTTGGTTGCAGAAGGTTCCAGTTGAAGGAAGGTCTAGGCATGCATTTGATGGTAGGATTAGAAGTAATCACATCACAAATAACATACAGAGTCCTTCAACAATTGGTTAGGAAATTTGAGAACTCAGCCAATTTTAACTATGTTAGAGGGCATAAGGTGCAAGTTGATGGGTAAGTTTCAGATGAGGTACCAAAAGGCAATGTAATGGAAATCTAATGTCACATTGAATGTGAAGAAACAGCTTGAGGTCACACAGAAATGGTCAAGGACTTGCACAGTGGAGTATGCAGGAGGCAATGAGTATGAGGTGAAGGATAATGAGGGGGTTAATCACATTGTCCATATTGGGGCAATGACTTGTGTATGTAGACAGTGGGAAATATCTGGTCTTCCATGCAAGCATGCTGTGGCTGCAATTTCTCACAGTAGGTTAAACATAGAAGATTTTGTCCACCCCTACTATTCTAAGGCAACTTACTTGAGAGCCAATGGTGGAATGATACATCCCATCTTACACCATAGCATGTGGACACTTATACCTGGGGACCCTTTACAACCCCCACCACTGAAAAGATTGCCAGGAAGGCCAAGGACTTCAAGAAAGAGGGCTGCTCATGAGCCACCAGCTGGAACAAGTCAGACTAAAAGGTCTAGTACCTTGAGATGCAAATGATGCATGCAATTTGGACACAACAAGAGAACTTGCCAAAGAGGTCCAGTCAGGGGTGAAGCATCTGCTGCTGGTAGGGGCAGTGGCATATGCAGTGGTAGAGGCAGTGGCAAAACTGATGGCACATCCAGTGGTAGAGGCAGTGCCAAAACTGCTGGTAGGGGCAGTGGCAGATCTGTGAGTAGGGGCAGAGGTAGAGACAATTCAAGTGGGAGAGGTAGTTCAGCTAAGAGGGGCAATGCAAGTGGTAGAGGCAACTCAAGTGGGAGGGACAGTTCAGCTGGGAGGGGAAATACAACTACAAGAGGAAGTTCAGCTGGGAAGGGAAGTTCAAGTGGGAGAGGCAAGGGCAAGGCCAACCATGCACAAGTGAGTTTTTTGTATTTGTTTTGCCTTTTCATTTGTGATTTTTATTTGTTTTCTATCAATTTATGATATTGATATGCATATTTATTACCTTACTTTGGTTTTCAATTTAGGATATTCCAAGAGGGACCCCCCCAATGCCTGCTGAATGTGTGACACAGGTCACACAACATCATGTTAGTTATGAACTTACTTATGAAGTTACAATGAAATTAGCTAAGTTGTTAATATTTGTTTGTTTGTGACACAGGTCAGACAACATCAATTTATTTATTTGTTTGTTTGTTTGTTTAACTTTTTTTGCAGATGACTTAGCTAAGTTGTTGATATTTTGGGTACAAGGATTAACATAGGTTGAAGGTATAAAATATATATTGCTTGACTGTATAGTTAGTGAGGATCATGTTCCACTTTTTTGTATTTTTGTAGTGGACATGCAATGCTAAGAATAGCAATATGATGATGTGGCCATTTTTGTTTTTTTGTAGTGGCCATGAAGTATTTTATAACTGATGATGTAACTGAACATATCTGATAGGAATGATGTAAGTAAACTACTTGAACATATTTTACAACAATCATGATGTAATTAAACAGGTGCATATTTATGGAATGGTTTTACTTGCTGTTTAGATTATGTTTACAGGTCATTATGTTATTCAAATGAGATGTGCATATTTACATAATGCTGAAATAACTTCATCATATTTATATATGGTCCATTACAAAACATATTGCATTACAAACATAAGGTCTATTACCAAATATTACAAAACCTTACATAAGGGCCATTACAAAACAGTATTACAGGGCCATTACAAAACAGTAGGTGAATCATTACCATTACATTTTTAGAGCAACCATTAGGGAAATCAAACACATCACAAAATTCATGATCATTATCATCTTTATAAACCCCATGTTTGCTTCAAGTACTTGCATCCTTGTTTGCATAGCCCCCATTTGGTTCATTAAATTCGTTGCAGGACTTTCTTCTTCATAGGATAAAGTGTGTCTGTTAACAGTTGTTTGAGTGTCTTCCATCATCATTTCTCCTCTAATAGATGAGTTTACTGGTTTGCACCACTCCCAGAATCCGCATTTCCCATTTGGGCATAAGTAATACAATTTGCCTCTGTTTTTTTCAGATTCAGTGACTTTAATTGTTGCTTTGCTCCCACAGTAACAGATCTTGCTTCTATATTTCATCACCCCTCCTCCATTACTTGATGATGATATATCCATCCAGTGAACCTACATTCATGAAATGTGAGAGTTTTAATGCATTTTCAGGACATATATTGATGGGACATACCTGTGTTCGTGTTTCATTTCTCAATAATGGATCATAGTTATAATGCATTTTCAGGACATACATTCATGGGACATACTTGTGTTTGTGCTTCATTTCTCAATAATGGATCATAGTTATAATGCATTTTCAGATGCAATTTTTTTTTTTTTTAAATAGTTAATGTGATTGGGAACATATGTGTTGTGCTTGTGCTTCATTTCTCAATAATGGGCATAGTTATAATGCATTTTCATATGCAATTTTTTTTTTAAATAGTTATTGTGACTGGGAACATACCTGTGTTTGTGCTTGGCCCTTTCTTCTTTTTGTTGTTCTTTAGTTTTGGTTGCCTCTCTAAATTTTTCTCTTCCACTTGTATTTACTGAAGTGAAGCTGGAGAGACCATTTGCTATATATAGATGGGTTGAGGGTATTATGGGCATTTTATTGTTTACATTTGATGACATAGGCGGGGTCTGTTAGGGTTTAAACGGCTGTCAACTTTTGGGGGAAACTTGACAATGTCAGGTAAAGTAGGGGGTGTTACTGTAATTATTCAAACCACAGGGGAGGTCCCTGTATTTGTCAGAAACCTCAGGGGAGATAAATGTAATTTACCCAAAAAAATTTAAAGATAAAAAATCAAAAAATATATCCAAAAAATTATCAATTGATGTGTGAGTTGAATTCAATTTTCTATAATGACATCCACACATATTTACCATCTGCAAGAATTCAAAATAATGGTAGAATCTTTTGAGCTTCTCTCTCCGGTCTTTTTTTGGAAAACGGCTCAGATTACGCCACGTAACTCCACTAAAAATCTATGACTCAAATTAGTTATAAATAAATAAATAAATAAAAACTTACTCTGACACTCTCTCTCCCCCTTACTGACACACACAACACTCTCTGTCTCTCTCTTTTAATAAAAATTAAAAAAATTAATTTTAATCTTTTTCATTTTAATCTTTCAATAATATATATATATATATTTTTGAATATAAATTTTAATTTTATAAAAATTAATATCATTGAAAATATACATTTAAAATGAGACTAATATTAAATATATTAATAAAAAATTAAAATAAACAAAAAGTAAATTAGTTATGTTTTCAAATTATTATTTTTTAAATATAAAATTAATTTGAAGAATAAATACACAAAAATCATATTTAAATTATGTGTTTTCAAAAATCATTTGAAAGCATAATAATTTGTGTGTTTATTTCATCAGATTATTTTTATATTTAAAAATAATAATTTGAAAACAAAACTAAATATGTAATTACTTTTTTTATTTATTAAATTTTTTATTAAATATATTTAAAAGTCTTATTTTAAAGGTATATTTCAATGATATTCAGTACGTTTGATTTGAGTTTTTGAATTAAGTTTTTTTAAAAATTGAGTTTTTTGGTTTTCATATTTTTTTGTTTTTAGTGAATGTTTTTACAATTTTAAAATAAATTTTTTCACTTTTTTAGAATGCATCTTACTTAGATGTATCTAAAAAGTAAAACATTGTGAAAAAATATTTTAAAAATTAATAAATACATAAAAATATAAAAATATACTAAATTTTCGTATTTTTTTTTTATATTTTTGGTATTTAGTGCATTTTTAAAGTTTTTTCGAATTTTTTTTAACTTTTAGGTATATATATGTTAGGTATTTCTAAAAATTAAAAAAAATTGTTAAAAATATTAAAAAAATCAGTAAAATAAAAAAAATACGGAAATAAAAAAATAAAATTTTTTGAAAAAGTGTTTTTGAAAAATAATAATCAAGCATGCTGAAATATTATGAAAATAAATAAAAAAGATTAAAATAATTTTTTTAATTTTTTATTAGAATTCAGAGATAGAAGATTGTGTGTGTGTGTGTGTGTGTGTGTGTGTGTGTGTGTGTGGTGTGTGTGATGTGCGGAGCCAGTGAGAGAGAAAGAGAGAGAGTGTCGGAGGGAATTTTGAATTTTTTTTTTTCAACCAATGTTCATCCCCTTTTTCCCACCCCTTTGACCCCCTCTCTCTCATTGGTTACTTTTTCTTTTTTTCTTTTTCTTTTTTTTCCTGCTCCTCCAATCACCACCCGCCACGTGACAAAGGGAGTGAGGGTGACCCCCAAAAGGGGGTCCAAGCATTATTCTTTTTTTAATTGAGTCACAAATTTTTAGTGGGATAACGTGCGTCCCCGAAAAAAGGACACAGAGAGGATCTGAACTCAAATAATGAGACTCATCCCGTGATTAAAAACAAAATCCTAAAGGTGCTAAAAATTTTTACTAAAAATTTTATCAAATGCCTCACAGAGTGTAGGACCCACATGAGACCATATTAAGGTGCCAAAAATTTTATTAAAAATTTTATCAAATGTCTCACATGGGTGTAGGACCCACATGAGACCCATATTGTGTGGGTCTCACACCCATATGAGACATTTGATAAAATTTTTTAATAGAATTTAGATCTTCTAACAATTACTCATTAAAAAAAAATGGCATTGATTTAGACCCTGTAGACTGCCCACGCCCCACAACCTACACACATGGAGGTTGAGGATTGGATGAGAAGAAAAAAAAAAAAAAAAATTGACCAATCAAAATTAAAGGGGTCAAGAGAGACCCAACAACCTTTATTCTTAAAAAATTATGATGTGGGAAACAGAAATTCTTCCTTTCACACTCACATCTCTCTCTCTCTCTCTTCCCCCTGTATTCTATATGACAAGAGCAGAAGCAAGTCATAAATCACAAAACAAAATCATCATACATGGCAGAGGGGCAAGAGGTGAAGCTGTTGGGTTCATGGGTCAGCCCATTTGTCTAATAGAGTAAAAATGGGCTCTCAACCTCAAAAACATCCAATATGAATACTTAGAACAAGATCTCGTCAACAAGAGCAATCTCCTCCTCACTTGCAACCTGTCTTTAAAAGAGTCCCAGTCCTCATTCACAACGATAAGATTATCTGTGAGTCCATTGTCATCATGGAGTACCTCGACGAGGTTTGGAAAAACAACCCTATTTTGCCTGAGGACCCTTATGAGATTGCCATGGTTCGTTTTTGGACTAAGTTTTGAAGAAAAGGTAAATCCCTCTCATCTCTCTATATTTCAATCTTCTTGTGTTCGTAAACATTTGTGAAACATATATGGTGTGATTAATTGTTCTTTAGATGAAAACTACTTCAATATCACTCTCATTTGTTTTGTGTGCTATAAATAAACAATAATAAGTAATCAATACATAAAATAATAATAGATTCTCTTTAATCATGAGATTCTATCATTAAAAAAAGATGTTTACTTGAGAAATTATCTAAAAGTTGGAGTTATATGAAACACAGGGTGCTTTCTAAATAACAAGAGTACACATAGCTACTTTGTTTTAAGAAAAATTATATAAAATATTTAAAATACAATTTTTTTTTGAATTTAATGATTAATTTTTTTAATTAAAAAGACAATAATTTAGATAATTTTTTTTAAAAAAATTAAAATTAAAATTGATAAAATTTAAAAACAAATGTTTATTTAGTCACAACCTAGATTTTTTTTTCCCCCTAAAGACAAGATGATTATATGATTGGATTTATCAAATACTTCTATTTCATCTGATTGTACCACTTGTGGCTTATTTGAAAAGTAGATTAAAAGTTAATTTTGACCAATTTTTTTTATTTTAAAAAACGTGCAAAAAAAAAAATAAAGAGATGATTTGACTCAAAAAAGTTAATAAATTAACTGTTTTTTACGTACTTTCTTAAAATAGGCCATTTTGACATAAAATAATATTTTTTTTTTAAAAAAAAAACATAGTGAAAAGTGTAGCTAAAAAATGTGAAGTGCTTGGCAACTAAAATAAAAAATAATAATAATAATGATTCAGTAAGTTTGACAGCAAGCTAATAGTTGTTTATTGACTTATTAGTATATTTTTTCATATCATCTCTCTATTTTTTTATATATTCTTTTTTATAAAAAATTTAAAAATATGTCGTAGCAAACCTCACTTGGTTAAAAGTAAGTTTTTAAGTCTATTATTCAGCTTTTAAGCCAATTCCAAATAGGCTGCTTTTTGGGGCTAAGTGGTCGTTTTTTTTTTTTTTTTTCTAAATTTTTGAATTTTTATTAAAAAATGTGTAGAAAAAGTAAAGAGAGTGATATGGTAATTTATATAATTTTTTTGGCTTTTTTAGAATGTTGCCAAAAATTTCAAAAAAAAAAAAAAGAAAGAATTTTTTTTTTTAAAGCCTTTGCTAGACATGGCCTAACTGGATGGGATTTTGTTAGTAACAATGTGTTTTTACCTTAATTTTTTAGAGTTCACTGAAGTGGTAAGGAAAGTGCTGTTTCTTGATGGAGAACAACAAGAGAATGAAGTGAAGAATGCAAAAGAAGCCCTAGAAAGCATTGAAGGAGAGCTCAAGGGAAAGAAGTTCTTTGGAGGTGAAACCATTGGTCTTTTAGACCTGGTCTTGGGTTTTATGACCATATGGCTAAACATAATTGAAGAAGTTTCTCATGTCAAAGTGTTTGACTCACTCAAGCACCCTTCTTTGAGCAAATGGATGGAGGACTTTCTAGAATTGCCATTGATCAAAGAATGCTCACCAAATAGAGATGAGTTGGTGCCATATTTTCACAAGATAAGAGAGCAAATGCTGGCTTTGGCTGCCAAGAAATGAGTGTTTTGTTTATGTAGTTTTCTATCTGGACAGAAATTAATCACAGAATTGGACACAATCCTTTCATATTAATGTGGAATTCACATCATGTGAAAGGGTTGTCTCTGATTTTGTGATTGATTTCTATGTTGTTAGACTTTTTTTTTTTGTTTGTTTTTTTATTATGTTTGGATCTTAAATTTAGGAAGAGAATTTTGTAAAGGGAAAGTGAAAGAAATAAAGTTTCTTCTTATTTATTTTCCTTCTATAACTCTCTCTCTTGAAATTCAAGATCCAAACAAAGTATTAGATAGTTAAAAAATGAGATTTTAGTTATAAGTTATGTCTGGATCTTAGATTTGAACATAAATTTGTGAAGGAAAAAGAAAAAGTAAAATAATTATGAGTTGATTTTTTCACTTTTCTTGTTTCTTTTCCATTCACAAAAATCACTTTATAAAATCTATGATCTAAATACAAAATTAAATGCTAAGAATTGGGGGAGATTGGTAAATTAAACTCTTTACATCTCTTAGATTTATTTTACTTTGTCTTTATTTGAATGTATTTTTGATAATGTCGAGCACATTTGGCATTTATGTGCATTATTTCTTGTGAAAAGAATAGTAAATTATATTTTTTTGTTTTTCTGATAACTTTTAAAATATATATATATATATGAATAATTTCGGTGGATTGTTAGAATGATTGTTATTTTCAAATTATAACAGTTTTATCTAAAAAATATCTTTGCAGCAGCTTGCTAAAATATGATATTGCTAAATTTTGATAATGTTATTTGTGCTGACTCAACTCACTCAAAACGATCTTGATCCAATAGCTTGGATGTGAGACATCTAACCGACATAAATAAGAAATGATTTAGATGTGTCAAAATAATATTTACACTATTATGATAGTATAATAACATTGCTATAGAAATGGCTTTTATTTTTTGATAGGCAAAAGTGAAATTTATTGATGTTAAAAACAAGACTACAGAATCCAAGAAAAGTGGGCTTGTTTGGTTTGTTTTTGGAAAAAAATTTTGGAAAAAATTCGCTACAAACAAATTTTCAAGAGTAATCAAACCAAATAAATTTTTTTAAAAAAAATCTCAAAATTTTGTTTGGTTTGCTTCTTTCCAAAATCACTCACTCTCTCTCTCATACACATCAAATCAATCACTTTTTTTTAAAACTCTCTTTCCAAAACAATTTTTGAAAAAAAGGCAAACCAAACAAGTTTTCGTACTTCTTATCTCAAAAATTACTCCACAAACACAAACCAAATAAGTATCCTCGTCAAAAGTACAACCAAGCTGTTCTCCTTTTGTTTTTTGTTTTTTGTTTTTTTTATAAATTGGTAAGAAAATATTTGTAAATATAAAGACAATTTGAATAATTATAATCTAACAATCAATCTAACAAAGAGCTCCCAGAATAAGAAAAAAATAAACGACACAACAAAACTTGACAATGAACTAACTTGATAATGAACTAAACAAACAATCCCGTAACAAAAAAGAAATTAATAAAATTTAACTTTAATAATAATTCTCTCACCTCCCAAATAAAAAATTTATATACCAAACACGATCAACAAAAAGTGCAGCAAAATTTGGTGAAGTAGCGCCACATTCATAAAAACCATAAATGATGAGTTGTGCTTCACATGCTAACCTTATTTCATTTGACTGGATGATACGTATTAGGTACAATCTATGAAGGCTTCTTTCCAAGCCTTATCATCCTTTGTTGTCTCCTTTGGCACAGAAATTACTCTTGTGAGCACAATTGAACCCAATACATGTCTCATCTTAATAATTTAAATTGTTTTTACTTTTTAAGACATGTTGAGTAGAATATTCTAATACAAAATTATGTTGATCGGACAATAATAACCCTATGATCAGATCAAAAATCAAGTCTAATTTTGAATTAATCATTTCAAATTAAACAATAACTCCTCAATCTTAACTCTCAGTTCTAGCATATCTCTTTTTTTATAACGCTTAGATTTATTTAGTCGTAACACTCAACCATGCACATAGGTTTAAAAAAAATATGATATTTTTATTATATAGATTTTACATTTAATTAGATTTACACACAATCATAATTCTGTTTAGATATCCTATTCGATTTGGACGGTTCATTTTTCATGTTTGGGATTCGCATTAAAATCTTTTTAAGTTGTATTTTTTTAGGCTATTTTTGTCTTAATAAACCATTTTCTAGTCAAAAAATTTCCAATAAAAATCACTATGTTTGTTTCTAATTTTTTAAAAACACTTTTTAAAAAATTTTACTTTCTTATTTTTCATTTTTTTTTTGTTTTTACTGAATTTTTTTAATATTTTAAGTAATTTTTTTAATTTTTAGACACACCTAATATAAATACACTTAAAAAGTATAATTTTTGTGAAAAAAATCTATAAAAAATTCATTAAATACCAAAAATATAAGAAAAATACGAAAATTCAGTATATATATATTTTTTTGTATATTTATTAATTTTTTAAAATATTTTTTTACAAATATTTTACTTTTAGATATATCTAAGTAACATGCATCTAAAAAAGTTAAAAAAAAATACTTAAAATTTTAAAAATATCCATTAAAAAGAAAAAAAAAATGAAAAATAAAAAACTCAATTTTCAGAAAATTGAAGTCAGAAAACTGAAACCAAATGTACTGAATAATTTTTTGCCTTTTAAATATGCCTTGCATTGGCTGAAAATTATTTTTATTGACTTTTGTTTCCTATCATTCCACACACCAAAAAAAAAAATTAAGAAAAAATTTAATAAAAAAACAGAGGGTTAGTCATTTATAAAGAATAAATTTTTTAAAATAAACTCATTTTTTGGGTACTATTTATTTATTTATTAAATTGAAGATCCAAACACATTATTAAAAAAATATTGAAATGGTTTAAATAAAAAATTAGGTTTGAAAGTCAAAAAAATTATTAGTTGGTATAAGATAAACTCCTATTGATACATTTACATCAGTATTCCGTGCTGATAGAGCCGTGACTGGACAATATTATTAAGGGGAAATTACCTGTCAATGGTCCTATCAAATAATTATTTAGAATCATAAAAAATTTATAATTTTAACTATTAATATGTATAACATTTATCATTTATATATATATTTAAAAATCTTACATTGAGGAGTGCTTTGGAAAATTAGCAAAAAGTTGATTTTTTAATTTTTTTTAATTTACTTTATATTTTTGTGAATAAAAAATATAAAAAATAATGTGATTCAAAATGAATAAAAAATTAAAAGTTAATTTTTTTAATGATTCCCAAAAGGCCTAAATTAAAATTTCTCCAATTATTAGTTATTCATAAGAACACCAACTAATCAATATGATGTTTATCAATTTGACATTAGTCTTAAATCAACCAATAACTTTTCTTCAAAGTCAAATCATCCTAATCACCTTATTAGAGTTGAAAGCAGTGTCATCCATCTAGAAAAGAAAATTGATAGACTATTTCCATTTTGGCAACCACGCAATTTTCTCTCTTTGCTTTTGAATTTTGTTTTTTTGTTTTGTCAGCCACTTTTCACATTGAGAAGAATTTGTCAATGTTTGATTGGTTATGTTTTTACATCCAATTTGAAATTGTCTTTCTTTACTTTTCTCCTCAAAAAACCACCGATTGGATTGTTGCATGCGAGAAAAGTCTATTCTTTTTTTGTTTTATAAATTTTACATATACTTATTTGGTTAACTAAAAGTTGATTAGATAAATAAATTAAATTTAAACATAATTTAAAATACGTTAATTTTTTAAATTAAACTTGAACAATTTATTACTTGACTCAATAAACTTATATATACTATAAAAAAAAATTATTAAAGCTCGACTTGTATCCAACTCCTTAAAAACTTGTTTGAAGTATAAAAAGCTAAGTTTGAAATTTTTTTGAAAATGTTTAAGTTTTTCAAAAACTCTTTCAATTCAAGCTTGAGCAACTTAATACTAGACTTAAATCAACTCTACTTGTTTGCAACCTTATTTGTGGTGTTTATAGTGCAGGGTTGAGATTAGTAATCCACATAACTCACATTCCATTGTTTGGTTGCAATATTCGTTATTTGAATTAAATTTTGATGAATATTTTATCTAACAAAATTGATAAATTTTTTAATCCTACAACTAATAATACAAAATAAACATATAACTGAGATTATATGTGTCCATATCTATTGCAAAATAAACGCGATAAGAGTGAATTATTTATCACATTGATCCAACTGAATAACTAATCTTAAAAGTCAATTTTTTTGCTTTTGAAAATTTTGAATTATATCACCTCTCTACTTTTTTATATTTTTTTTAAAAAATCAAAAAAATTAACTTTTAACTTACTGTGTGGGTAATTTTCTGACCACACTACCCGCCTAGTAATCAGCTGGAGAGCACTGGCAGAATAGATGGTTTCAGCAAACCTGTAACAGAAAGAAAAGGCTCCGGCGGTGGTTCTTCCACCCGGGGCACTCCGACGATCAAGTCAGTATATCTCTCAAAGATAATCAAGTGCTAAACTTATTACTCAAAACATAAATTGCGTACCTTAGACCCACGGGGGTGCCTCTCTTTTATAGCCAACTCAATCCTAGTCTCACTAGAAGCCTGACTTCTATGGACTCCAATTCAATACTTACTTTGGACTCTTCAAGAGATAAAAATTAACTCCCTAAGAGCTTTATCCTTATCTTGGCTAAGTCTTCTCTTTACTCTAGGACTCTTGTCCCTTATCCGCTTATCTAGGATTCCGATATCTTCGAAGACCACGTCGGCCTTGCCTAGGTAACCTCGGCATAACTACCAGGACACGTGGCACCTCGGCTGACACGTCGGCGTCACCATGCCACGTGTTGGTATTCAGAAATTACATCCTCTACAAACTGCCCCTATTTTTTTTTTGGCTTTCTAATTACCTCGAGCATTTCTGAGAGTGATGGACTTATCTGTATTGTCCTTAGTACCTTGTGTAAGAACTCTTCATGCCGAGAATCTTATGTCAAGCCGATATGTTTGTTTCTGCAAGAACAAGAATTCAAAATGAACTTCCCCACCGCTGAGCTTCATGCATTCAACTTCTCACAGTTTTCCTGAATGTTCATCTTTACTGGCCCGTTGCCTGTGACCGCGTAAGCCGTCTCTAATCTGTCTGCCGACCGTTTGACGCATCGGTTTTCAGGCGCAATTAAAATGCCTTATTTGCCGGTCCATTTCACGGTTTTC